CTAGTTGTTACAGTTTTCCCATCTATCATTGCAGTGGTTTGATTAAAAGTTCAAAATTCAATGTTTAAATTTTAACCCAGCCTTTGGGGTTGACTTCATGGCTCATTTTGTAGCATTTAAGCCTATAATAGGATGCCTAGACCTGTTTTTATTTTATTTTTTTTCGCCCTGTCGCTTCATATTTTTTCTGAAAAAATCCGAGAACCAACAAATTAAATTGGTGTGGCCTAAAAAATGCATGTCTTAAAGTTAAATACTACCTCCGCCCCCAGTATAAAAAGTAAAAACAAAAACAGTACATGTACTTAGTAACCTTGACATGCATTTTGCAGAGCCATAACAGATCTACAATCATGTACATGCTGTGGTACCCCAGTGATACAAGTTTCCCTATGCAGGCAGATTCCTGTCTACAAGTCTTGAATATTGTGCTATGTTCACCTTGAGGCCCACATTGAGGATATAGGGAATCCAATGTTACTGTTTCATCAACATTCCCTGCAACAGTGCTGTGCTAACACCAAGCTATCATAATACTTCATCACCTTTCTGGTTTTGACTGGTACCTTGGCTGGCGACGTTCCCGCTTTGCTTCAACCAATGCAATAGGAGAAGGCTGGGAGACGTCCTCATCAAATAAATCCATCCTGCACCACTCCCTGGTGTCTGGTGCATGTTATGTTTAATTTGTTTCAATATGACGTGTTTGTAGTCTATCTGCCCATCATTCTGTACACAATCTGCCACGGTTCATACCAACTGGAAAGTGGAGGGGTGTTCTAGATGGGTATCATTAATAGTGGGTATAGGAGCTAAAGGAAAGCCTGTGGTCGACATACAGTGAAACCCAGTAAGGTTCATGGTGTGGCTGTCCTTTCTTGGTCCAGATTTCCCAATAGACACTGTTGAATTGCACTAGATCTGACCACCTGACTAATGAATAATGTGAATGTAACCCCAACAAGCATATATAGTCTAGTGACCACGTTTTCACAGCCTGGAAATGGGAACAGATTTTGTTTGTTTGTTTGTCTACATCAAGTTGTGGATTGATTCAGGTACTTGGTAGGTGCTGGTACAAACTGTGTCACACAAGTATGAAATTTCATTTTCCACGAATAAATTGTGGCATTTTCATATCAACTAGGCAAATTAGAGTAATTTAGACTATTATCTGCATAATTGGTATCAATTAACGTTAATGTACCACCTGCCAATCAGAGTACTAGTACATTTTGTACATACATGTATGTTACATGTATTTTCATCAGTTAACCTATTTTTAAAAATTTAACAAAAATGCCCCTGCAGTTCTAAAGCTATCTGCTAGGGGGTCCCAAACCTATATCACTTTTTATGTCAAAATCTTTCTGCTACCCAAAATAAAAACCATAGCATATCGAGCATACATGGAAAATAGTGCTCAGTGGTATGTTAGAATTATGCAAAGTAAGTCTATGCAAAGTACTAGTACTTGTAAATTTCTAGTTTGCATAATTTGCATTTTTGTGCATATGTTTCTGAACTACATACATGCCTGAAAATCATTAAAGTGAATTTCGATCTTGGCCCAAACAATCCTTATTGGTGAAGTAATTATCAAGTAATTATCAACAGGCAACACATCTGTTTCCTGCCATAAATTATTTGCAGAAATTATTTCTAACCAAAGCTCCTCAATAGACCTTCAAATTGCATCTTACCTTGATGTTGCTTTCTCTAGGACTCCTTTTGGTGATCCTTGTCCTTTCTGTTCCATCTCTGCTATGCTAGCCATGATGAAAATCAGGACATCGCACCTTCTAATCCCTCACAAACGTACACAACCCGCACTTATAACTGTCTTAGAAACTCAAACTCTACTGCTTCCAGGTTTCACATTAGAAACATTCAATATGGAAGAAACCATTGAGCGATATTGAGGTAATACTAATTCAAAGCAGCTCAAAAAATCCTCATGAAATAAATACAAGATAAAAAAGAACAATGAAATTGTCTACTATCCATAATAAATTATATGTATACATTGTATACTTGTCATATTAGTTTAGAAATATTTATTTACGATAAAATGTATTATAAACTCCCCCTTAAACACTATTGTGAAATTCCTTGCGCTTGCGCGCTGCAGTATACCAGCATGGCCGCCAAGCAGAAGTAGGGAAGAGGTGACTAGTCGTTACTGAGATAAAATTTTGATGTTTTCAGACTGTTTATAATGTTTTCGCTACATCGATTGAATTCCATAAGAAGCCTACATAAAGCGCAACATTTTGAAAAGTTATTGAATTCGGCCAATGATAACTCGGTCCGGCAAATATGGGTCAGCGCAGGACACGTCTTCGTCAGCTGGCACGGCGGTCGTCGACTGACATCGTTCGACACAGTTCCTGTTCAAAGGTCTTTCGTTCCGCAGGAGGGAAGAAAGACTGATGTGTGTAGTGAATCAGGGTGTTTGGATCTGCAGAGGCAAGAGACTGATGTGATTGAACTTAGCTTCAAGAAGAAGAACCCCACAGAACTTTACATTACTTTCGCAAACGGTCAGATAGAAGTGTGGGAGTATCGCACAGTAGAGGGGTCCGACACTCCCAGCTGGACTTCGCGCGGTGGGTTCAGACTTTGGAGCGGAGATCATGGAAGGCGTGTCTGCTCGGCTTTCCTTCACGAAGAGCAGAACTGCTTGTACTGGTGCGAAAAAAGGGCTGTCGATGTGTCAAACGGTAACCTCGTTGCAGATTCGGACAATGGTGTCCAATTCATGTATTTTGTCTCCAAGAAAAGCCTACCTCTCAGTCACGAGACAGTCAGCAGTCACACCGTGGGGTCAACGTTCACCTTCCTGGAGCACTGCCCCCCCTGTCAGCTCTACTCCACAAAGGACGGGGTCATGGTGTGGCCAGAACAACCCTGTCCAGTTGGTTTGTACTTCATGTGGCACCAAACCAAGAACATGCTCCAGGTCTGTAGCCTGGACACAGGCTGCGTCACTGCCCACATGCGAGTGATGTCCAGTGGGATAGCATTTGCTGATGCTGTGAGATCATCAGTATCTGTATGGGCACAGAACAGCCAGCCAAGAAACAATGGTTTAGTGACCGTCATAAAAGATTCCTTCCAAGATCAGTTGCTCCTTATCTTGGAGAGTGGTGATGTCATGTCATTGTCTAACAAAGGTAGTCTGCAACATAAATGTCACATTGCACAGTGGGCAGCTGTGTTTAGTTCTATAGTGCCCAGTGATTGTGAGTGGTTTATGTACACCTTTGTAATTGGTTGTGTTGTACCTGATGGAAGGGTGCTCTTGTTTCACTCTGAAACAGGAAGTCTTGTTCAGGAAATACAGCAGTTCTCTGAGCCAGATTATGAAGGCAGTACATTCTTGTGGGTTGGCAGTGGCCAGCTGCCCAGTGTTGGACTTTGGAGTACCACACATGGTATGTGGGAGCTGTGCATGTCAGTGACTGACACTGCCAGTATGCGGGCAGTGCTCAACCCTGTGGAACATGTACATTTAATGACAGGACTGAGTCAGACAAGTAGTGCAGCAAGGCTTACTTTAGAAGAAGCAGTCAAATACTACAGAGACAGAACTGCTCATGGTGAGAACATTGACATTGAAAGTCTGATGAAGAACACCATGCTGCAGAGCCCTGCACTTCTTGTCGCTCTTCTACACAGTCACTCCAGACAGGTGTCAGATCACATAGAGAGGGACCACTTAGCACAGCTTATGAGTTTTCACTACAGTAGTGGCCCAATGACGAAGATACAGGAGACACTTCATCCACTGCTGAATCAGTTCTGGGACTTGGAGACCAAATGGAGGAGTCTGATAACAGCTGATGGAACAACAGAACAAGAGAGGCAAGAAAGAGCAATACAGAGTGAAGTGAGAATGTTGCTGAAATCAGAAGAAAACATTTCTCCAACCAACCTGGCTCAGTTGGAATTGCTTGCACTCAAATTCCCAACACAGTTTGTAAGAACACTTCTCCATGACCTACATGTCACTGATGCATCTGAAACTACTCAGCTAAAGAATGACCAAATGAATCTGTGGCCAACAGTGTTGAGTACAGACAGGACTTCCAGTAACATGCCAGTATTTGAACTGGTCTGCAGATTGCTGTATAGAGAACAACCTTCACAGCTTCTAGCTTTTGTCCACAAGGCCACCCATGTCAAAGATGATATCATAGGTCCCTCAGCTCTCAGTAGAAGCAGTAGTTTGTATGACAGAGCCTTTCACTGTCTACATGTGCCAGAGTCCTCCTGTACAAACATGGACACAGTACTGGCTTACTGTGAACTGCTTGCCAGCACGACTAACAATGACGCAGCTTTAGAGGCACTGAGACTGCTTCTCAGGTTTAACAGGCTAAAGGAGGCTGTCAGTCTTGTATCAAAGAATGCAGATGAAAGCAAGCAGCACTCTGCCCTTTTCCACACACTGTTAGTCAACATTCTAGAAAGCGATACATTCCAATGTGTGGACCAGTCTATATGGGATCTGGTACCCAAGACATTTGGTGCTGATCAGCTGCTAAGCCTGTTACAGGAGCACTTACCATCAAGAAGAAGGAGGAAGGGGAAGAGCATGAGACTGCATGTTCTCTGTTCATCACCAAATGACACTTCACTCTCTGTACTGAAGGGAGTACTGTTGAGCACCATTTTAGAACATGATGAGGCAAAGGAAAAACTTTGTGAACAATAACCAACTTTTGACATACATATTCATTATTCATTTTAATGCCTATGTTTTTGCCATTGTGTAATGGTATGATGTGCTTGCTGCTATCCTGCATAATACATTTTAAAGGTTGAGTAGGTGTTAACTATCCATTTCTATTGTGTCTGGCCCGGTGGGATCCTTCCTTCTATTGTCATTGTGATGGTTATTCTATGCCAGTTCTCATTCATTCCAATCCCATTCTTAACCGAGTCATATTTTCATCCTCCAGTGTCAGTGACAACAACCTTGTCACTGATAGGTAGGGCATCATTGAAACTGGTGGACATATATCATTACTAGTATCATTTCTAGCTGAACTGCAAATAGGCTGTACACACACAAAAAAATTGTAGTCTACTGAGACTTTATGAGTATGGTTTTTGTTTCAATTGATGAATATAATATCCACAACTTGTAACTGATATTTGTATTGTACTTGATTTTTTTAAAAAGGTTGAAAAAGAATGGTTTGTCATCTATCACCTTGTATATAGCTGATTAAAAATCAAGTCTTTACCGTTAACGTTTCTCTTACTAGCTCTTTCAACTTTGTTCTAGTCCTATCATGAAATGCAGCAAATAAACTCATAAAGCATGACTTGCATGATTGTCATCAAATTATGTCAAATATTATACTAGTATCAAACATCATGATGATCTGTCAAGCCCTTCTTCAGCTGTTCTTGAGTAATGTTTAACATCCTTGCAGTTCCAGAACACGCTGCTAGGGGGCCAAACGTAGTCACTGCCTATATTGCAATAGCTCTGTACAGATCAAAAATCGTGACCATAGCATGTCCAGAAAAGGGAGATATCCAAACCGAAAATTCGGCTGCAGTACCATGGATAGCTGCCAAGTGGTCCAAAATCGAATCGTTTCCTACTAACGTAAAATCCGACCACGTCTTATCGAGTTATTTTGTTAAGCACACAGACGAACAGACAAACGACCCCAAAAACATACCTTCTAGGCGACGATAAAAACAAACGTCGCCCCCGTACACAGGAATGGTATCGGCCTGGGTTCAACGAGGGTCACTGTTCTGCTGAATGGCGCACGAATCAGGAATGGCGGTGATCTGAGGGCTTGGCCAGCACAGGGCTGCTGAGAGTCACAGAAGGAATGGGGACTGACATGTACCCCTCCTTACTAGCCTAGGACGTGACGATCATTATCGAGAAAGGCCTTGACACACAGCCCGTGCCATTGGGGGTAAACAAAGACGTTAACCCGCCGAATTTTTAATCAACAACATCGGAATCACAAAAGGATGCCAGCTGCAACGGCGCCCGGCGGCCTGTCCTACCTATTTCTGCTCGGGCAGTCCATGTTTAGCGCGGACGCCTTGGTAAATAACGTAAACTCGGGCAAGGTGGATGTACTAGACGTGTTCCTCGTTCTTTTCGGGTTGTTTTTATCGACAATCTTACTCGCCACTTTCCTATGGACGACGCTGAGGCGGCGATGGCAGGGTGAAGCCAGGGCGGCTGGGCGGGTTACCGCCGGCAGGTCGGAGCAGGAGGCCGGGGTTCGCGGCCCTGTCCCGCCCCCGGACGGGAGACTGTACGAGCCCTGTGAGTGGGTCAACACGACACTAACCTGGCTTCGAACCCAGCAGCATCAGACTCCTGAACTCGTGAAATCGTGGCTGAAGGCTCTCAACGAACAAGCCCGAAGAAATGGGGTAAGTGGTGACGTCTTGGTTTGTTTATATTACACTAATTTACAGACAATGATTATTGAATGTGGTTTGATCAACAGCCATAAAATGAAATTTATTTTGTGTGAAATTGGTTCATGTTCCCTGAGCTTTGATATGAACAATTCAGCGTTTATGTAAAAAAACAAACATGCCGATCAAGTCAGAACTAAAATGGCTGCCTAGCTATGAACGTTTATGTTACAAAAAATAATAATTGATACAACAACAACAAATTATAACAATACATCAGATACGGACCATTTCCACATCATTTATGTCTTTGTGTAAATTATCACATTCCCCCCACGTTTCTGTTTCCCTAGACGAAACACTTTCAGTTTTGCAACCATCACTTTTATTTTCAACCATCTATTTTGGGTTCCACTGTCTGTAATACTGGTGTCATTTTTCATCATGGTGACACCATGCTTATTTATCCTCAAGCAGATGCTGGGGTGAAAGATCCTAACGTTTTCTGACTGCTAGGCATCTCTGACAGGCATACATTACAAAATCTGCAGACTGGGGTGCAGACAGGGGCACTACTGCCCTTCTCTGTGCCCCTGTGTTAGTGCAGTTAGAGAAACCAGACAGTCAGACAATGTTATGATCTTTCATCCTAACATCTGTTTGGAGATTGGCTTCTTCTTGCAATAGTCCCTTCTGGGCTGTCAATCAAAATTAGCAATTTGACCAATATGAGAGAGGGATGTGGTCATGTGAACCATTAGTGGGCGTGTCTACCATTTTGTCCATGAAACTTCTGTGTGGGCGGGGCTACAGTGGGCATAGTTATTCAGAATACAGATGAAAAGTGTGACTGCCCAATATAAAAAATCCGAGAACCAACAAATTGAATTGACCCAACATGTATTTCTACACAGGATATGAGTTAGAAAAACATAACTACACCGGTATGTGCAACAATTTTTATTGGCACAACAAAGGTACAGTGAACTTCACAAGGTCTACTACAAATAAGTGGATCAGTCATTTTTCAAAGAGCTTTTGTGTTCACTTCTGACAGACACTTTATGAATATACAAGTAATTTTGCATGTTTACCAACTTACAATTTTGAATATGCCATGGGACTAGCTCTGGACTTGCAAGTATTTGCAGGAAGTGTTCAAGGATGTGGTTGCCAGGAATGTTATGTATGAAACATAAACCAGGATGCAATAGAGGTGTCGGTTTCATCATACAAATGTAACATTATGAGTAATAATGCATTCTATGATGTAATTCATCACCACAAACTTCTATTTCCTGGAGGTTTGAAGTCTTTGATTTCATGTTTTCTGCAGAGCTCCTTGCAGCTGACCTTTGATAAAATCAAAGAAGGAAGCCTTCCCCCCAAGTTCACCACCATTAACAGTACCATTGCAGATGATGGCAGTTTGGTAAGTCAACAACAGTGTCAATGGTTTAATTTACATATACATGTACTACCCCCTATCTACAGTAGTCACTTACAACGTGGGTTCAAAAACCGTAAAATTTAGCAACATTGGGAGAATGATTGGCCTTGGGAGTTTGGTCGATGTAGAGTTCATCTGTCCATGAAAAGCAAGCCCAGAAATAGTTCAGAGACCTTCGAGTGTCTTTTCCTTCTCCATTTTCACATCTCTACATAGCCTGGATGCCAGACTGTTCTCAGGGCAAATGCACAGTTAGACCCTGAAAATCTGTTGCTCAGGGTCTAACTGAGGGGCTGGCCTGTGTATTTGCCCAAGCAGCTAACCTGTATACTGACCCTGACAACAGTCTGGCACCCAGGCTACTCTCTGCAACACAAGTTACACAACCTAACTGAGTCTGTCTGCTTGCAGGTGATTGGTTGTTACGTGGAGTGGCTGAGGCTGGGCCTGACTGTGTTTGCCACCCAGCAGACTCCACAAACCATCAAACTGGCCATCTGTGATGTGGACGTCAAGCTTACTGGAGAGGTGAGACTACCAGTAGTGACAAGATATTGGACATTTCAAAACCTAGCAGAAATCTTACCAAAACTGTATATGAGATACTCAGATAGCAATTTAAATAACTCACTGTGTTTCCAAAATAAACAACCTACAATGGCATGGTATTAGGTGTTGATTGCTTCAAATAAATAAAGAGGAATTGAGATAGTATACCAAGGCATTTTACAAAACTGTGAACTATATAAGATACTACTTTACTAGATAAGTAATGACAAGATTTACATAGTAGTACAATGTGCTGTGTAACTACTTACATGTATGGATCTGTAAAAATCTTAAGAGTTCTTTATACCTGGTATTGATTAATTGATTAATTAAGCAAATAATTATTCTGATGTATAGTAGCTGCACTTTTGTGCAACTGCAAGTAAGGGATCCCGCCCTTTGAAGATGTCTTGCCGATGTGCTTATTTGCATGTAATGAATGTTTGAGTATATCATTTTTGTAAATATTATGCACTTAACTCATGAAATTGTTCTGTGCTGCTGTGATAATCCTCTCCCTCTGCACGTGTTGGTGCCGCCCCATATTGGAGAACATATTGATTCCCCCTTCCATCCGTCTCATTCATCCATCCATTTATCCATCCATTCATCCATCCATCCTTTCACCCACCCCCATCCATCCATCCTCCCAAACACCCATCTTTCCATCCATTCATCAACCTGTCCATCCATCAACCTGTCCATCCATCCATCCATCCATCCATCCATCCATCCATCCATCCATCCATCCATCCATCCATCCTTTCACCCACCCCATCCATCCATCCATCCATCCATCCATCCATCCATCCATCCATCCATCCATCCATCCATCCATCCATCCATCCACTCTACTCCACTCCACTACCACTCACTCCATCCA